GGGGGGCAATGGGGATTGGAGGAGTAGAGATTTTGGGGGAAATGGGGATGTGGGTGGAATGGGGATTTGGGGGAATGGGGGATTTGAGGCAAAAACAGGGATGGGTGGTGAGGGGATTTGAGAGTGAAATGGGGGTGAATGGGGATTTGGGGTGTTGCAGTAAGGATTTGGGGGAGAAAAGGGGTTTGAGAGGGGAAATGGGGATTTGGGGCATTGCAATGAGGATTTGGGGAGCACAGCAGGGATTTAGGGGTTCAGAGGTGACCTGCAGATGCACCGAGGTGATCTGGGGGTGGCCTGGACTGACCCCTCAGTGTCCCCCATGTGTCCCCAGGCTGCCTTCGCCTGCATCAAGCAGCTGTGGCAGCGGCGGCCGCTGAAGGTGTACGGGGGCCGCATGGCCGAGTCCATGCTGGCCATCCTGTGCCACATCCTGCGTGCTGAGCCGCTGCTGCGGGAGCGCCTGGGCCGCGAGCGCGAGGGACCTGCACCCGATGAGACAGGGGGCGAAGAGGGGGGACCCCGGCGTGAGCCCCACGTCAACCAGCAGCAGCTGCAGCAGGTGGGACCCCGGAATGGGTGGTGGGACCCCAACCTAGACATTGAAAACCCAGATGGGACATTGTGATCCCGAACAGGGCATTGGGATCCTGAATGGGGTATTTGGAACCCAAACGGGGCATTGGGAACTGGAACTTGGCCTTAGGACACCAAACTCAACATTGGGAACCCAAACTGGGCATTGGGAACTTGAATTGTGACCCCCAAACTTCATCCTTGGGACCCCCAAACTCTTCCCTGCCCCCAAACCCCTTTTTGAGCTCCTCTGACCCTTCTTTGTGCCCCCCAAATCCCTCCTCCCCATCCTTCCCAAACCCTTCCCCATTCTACCCAAGCCCCTCTGGGCAGCCTCCTGACCCCTCTGTGTCCCCTCAGACACCCTCCCCTTGCCCCCTCCACCAACCCCCTGACCCCTCCCCACCCAAACTACCCCTCCATGCCCCCTGACCCTTCGTGTCCCCCCAGCTGATGGACATGGGCTTCTCACGGGAACACGCCATGGAGGCATTGCTCAACACCAACACCATGGAGCAGGCCACTGAGTACCTGCTGACCCACCCGCCCCCGCTCATGGGGGGCTCGGC